ACGATTAGAATTTTCTTAAGAGAATCAATCTCTTAAAATTTGATGGTCAGGGGTAATTGTTGTACTGATGCATCATTGAAGGCGGTTAAAAGTTTTTTCTCTTCCTCAATGGGCAATTATCTTACAAAATGAAGATTTTTCAACAAGAATAGCATAACTTCTTCTCAACATCGTTCCTTTTATATTACTTTCTTGTAATTTCTAGCTCGTCTTCTTCTCCTAGTGTATGTAGTTGCTTGGTTTTTCAAAGTAGGAAAATCTTTATTCCTTGACCAACATCAATGAATCATCTTTGAATTTTGATTATTCAAGTTGTCGTGAGCTGCTATTTAAGTTGTTACTGAAGTCGTCTTGGGCTGTTATTGAAGTAGTCTTGGAGCAACTTCGAGCCTTTTTGGAAGTTTATCTTGCAGAAGATATAATTTTCGATTTAAGGTATGACTTCTAATTCTAACATTCTTGTTTGGTTTAGCGTTGGATTTGGATTTCACATAATTATAAGTGTTGGTTTATGCTTTACTTATGTGACTTATTCATAGTACCATCTTGACTGCTACACTTATGATAGGATGGATAGATCGTGGATGACACTTAGAAAATTTAGTCCCGGCTATATAGAAGGAGTTAAATCTTTCATGTGTTTTTTCGAAGATCACATTGATCACAATAGTGATTATCGTTGCCCATGCAACCATTATCTGAATGTTTTCAAGTTATCTAAAGAGGCTGTTTCCGCACATTTGACGATGAAGGGGATCAACTCTTCATATACAACTTGGATATATAATGGAGAATCAAGTGATCTCGCATGGGTAGTGACAATGATGTCATTGGCACTGATTCTTCTTTTGATGATGAAGAGGAAGATTCTTTTTTTGAATTATTTGGTGATTGTGCTGATTTTATCAACACGATAATCAATAATGAAGGTGGCTTCACTAACCATGGATATGAAGACTTTATTCAATTGTTAGGAGAGGCAGAAAAGGAGTTATATCCAAATTGTGACAAATACACAAAATTGTCATTTATTGTGAAGTTACTTCACTTAAAAGTGTACAATAAGTGGAGCAATAAGTTATTTAACATGTTGCTAAAATTGTTGAAGGATACTCTCCCAGAGGGTAATTTAGTTCCTGATTCCTATTATAAGGAAAAAGTCTATTGCGAATTCTAGGATTAGCAAACATTCCTATTCACACATGTCTCTATGACTGCATATTGTATGGGAAGGAGAATCAAGAATTAGAAGCTTGTCCAATGATGGTAAGAGGGAGAAACTACCATCGAAAATATTACGTTACTTTCCATTAAAACCTAGACTCCAAAGGTTATTCATGTCGAGCAAGACTGCAGCAGAAATGCGGTGGCATAAAGAGAAATGAAATGATGATGACGACGACTTAAGACACCCTGCTGATTCAAAAGTATGGAAAGATTTTGATCTTGAGTTTCCATGGTTCGCTGAAGATTCTCGTAATGTTAGACTTGGTCTAGCTAGTGATGGGTTCAATCCTTTTGGTAACATGAGTTCTTCATATAACATGTGGACAGTTGTTCTCACACCGTATAATCTTCCACCTTGGATGTGGATGAAAGAACCATACTTGTTAATGACTTTACTAATACCAAGCCCTTCAGCACCCGACAAGGATATGGATGTACATTTGAGACCTTTGATAGATGAGCTGCAAGAGTTGTGGTCGGTGGGCATGCAAACATATGATTCCAATCTAAAGGAACCTTTCAACTACATGCAACAGTTTTGTGGATGATCAATGATTTTCCAGCTTATGGAAATTTATCGGGATGGAGTACAAAAGGGTATTTGGCATGTCCTGTTTGAAACGAGGATACATCATCGCTAAAGCTCAAAAGCAAGATAGGTTATTTGGGTCATCGTCGTTTTTTACCCATACCTCATAGGTGGAGAAGGGATAAGAAATTCAACGGCAAATCCGAGACTCGACGTCCTCCAAAGATTTTATCTGGTGGTGAAGTTCATGAACAATTGGGACATGTAACAGAAAGATTTCCTCGGAAACATCCAAGAACCTTCAACAAGAGGAAGCGCTCTTTAAATTACTTGAATTGGACAAAGAGGAGCATATTTTTCACACTTCTGTATTGGAGGAAATTGAAGTTGAGACGTAACCTTGATGTCATGCACATTGAGAAAAACATACGTAACAATGTAGTGTCCACAATGCTAGACATAACGGGAAAAACAAAAGATACTATTAAAGCTAGACAAGATCTTCAGATGATGGGAATTAGGGAGGAATTGCATCTTGTTAAGAGAAGTGATGGAAACTATGATATGCCTCATGCATGTTATGTCATGACAAAGGAGGAGAGGAAGAAATTTTGTCAGTTTCTAAAAGATGTGAAGTTTCCTGATGGTTATGCTTCTAACATATCCCGTTGTGCCAATATTGTTAATGGCAAAGTTTCAGGTTTAAAATTCATGATTGTCATGTCTTGCTTCAAAGGTTATTGCCCGTGGGGATTCGAGGGAGTATGAGTGGAGTTGTTGTGAGTGTCTTAGCTGAATTGGGAGTGTTCTTTCATCGGTTGTTTTGTAAAACCTTAAGTATGGAGGCATTGGGTAAGCTACAAGATGACATTGTCACTATCTTATGCAAGCTAGAGACTATCTATCCTCCTGCTTTCTTTGATGTTATGGTGCATTTAACCGTTCATCTGCCTTATGAGGCTATCCTTGGTGGTCCCGTGCAATACCGATGGATGTATCCCATTGAAAGGTAAAACTGATTTTACCAAGAATTGAATGGTTACTTTATAGATATCTAAGTTATCATCTAAATCTAGCCTTTCGGAAAATTTGGTGCTAGGTTTTTGGTAACTTTGAAAGGATTAGTTCGCAATAAAGCTCATCCTGAAGGGTCCATCGCTGAGGCATATGTTGTTGATGAGTGCTTAACATTTTGTTCTATGTATCTCGATCGAATTGAGACTCGATTCAATGCATCTGAGAGGAATTGCGATCAAGATGAGAATGGAAATCTATCTATTTTTTCGTCTAAGGTGCGACCAATCGTTTCCTTGAACCATGTTACAATGGAGCTTAATAAGTTAAGCATGGTCCATTGGTATGTGTCGAGTAACTGCGAGGAAGTCCAACCATACATCGAGTAAGTTAATTGATAATTATGAACATCATTATCAAGGGTCGTCATTAAAATCTCACATATATGCTAAATCTTTCCAGTGAGCATTTACAAACAATTGATGAAGTTGATCTTATAAAAAAGAAACAAATTCATAAAAAGCAATTCGCATTATGGTTTAAACAACATGTTAATTAAAAGTTCCATTTCTGTAAAACCATTAATTGTCTTTTATGAAATCGACATCTACGTGCTTTGCCTACTGTAGATGACAGCTTTATTGAAATCAAAGAAAGATGATGAGTACACATTGGCTTTACATGCATTATCTTGTAGTCCTCGGCCTGCTGTTAAGAAGTATGATATTTGCATTGTTAATGGTGTTAGATTTCATACCAAGGACGTAGAACGCCGACGTAAGAGTCAGAATTTGTGGTGTTCTTGTGGAAGGTGATCATTGTGGCGAAGAAATTGAGTTTTACTGTGTATTAATTGACATAATCCAATTGGATTATGTGAGAGATAACCATGTCTATCTCTTTCAATGTGAGTGGTTTGATGTCGATAGTCACAAGTCAAGAATTATAAGGGATGGTGCGATTACTAGTATTAAAGTTGATCGATTTTGATACTCCAGTGATCCATTTGTGCTTGCCACTCAAGTGAAACAAATATTCTACACCTCTGATCCTAAAATGGGCTTGCATTGGAGAGTTGTGCACAAATTTATCATCGTCGTATTTTCAGCGCAATGCTCTAGGATGACAACGTCATAAATGGTGGTGATGACAATGGCAATGGTGCATATCAGGAGGAAGAGTTGACCAACGTTCCAAGTAGTTTAGTGAATGAAAATGATGCTGACTTATTGTTATAAAGAGATGGTGATGCTCCCATGGTGATTGAGAGTAACAAAGTTGATGGTAGTCAAACATCACGTGAAACAAAGGTGCACCGAGCTGAACAAGTAGAAGTATCTCGTCAAGAAAGTGTTGATGGAGAAAATTATCAAGACTTTACTAGCTCTGAAGATGAGCTTGATGCATCTCTACATTGTATTAGTGATGAAGAGGAAGACTGCAACATGGATGGAGAAGAGGATTTTTCTGCTCATTATGATAATGACGTTTGATTGTGTGTTGAGTTTCAAACCTTATTTTATTGGAAAGCTTGAAACTTTATATATTTATTGATGCATTTTATTTTATTATTCTATAGTTTGATTGAATTTCTATCTCAAAGAATATTTTTCCTTTATTTGCGGTTATCTATATTAACAAATTGTTGAGCTACTCTTACAAAGACGATGGTTTATTTGATCTACAGGTTGTTGAGATGGCGCCGGGTGATTCACAAGCTAAAAAGAGTGGCTTGAGTAAAGCTAAAAAACCAGGTCCATTGGCAGTTTCAGCCGTTATGAAACGTAAAACAATATCAGATTCCCCAATACTATCTTCTTAACAAGGTAAATCAAACTGATCTAGTGACACTAGTTACTTATTTAAGTTTAAATAAACCTTTTCCATATGAAACTAGTGATGGTTGCATGTGGTATATTTGGATCATTATGAAACTGCATTACTGCTGCTTTTTTTCATATATAATAATTTGTCTAACAGTGTTTCACATGTTATGAACTTTATAGGAAAACAAAAGGTTGCTAGTTTATTTAGGGAAAAATACACTTGTATAGTCAAAACTTTCACGTTTGTGTCACTTATAGCCACTTTTGACGAAATACCACTTATAGCCACTTCCGTCCAAATCTTTAACGGTGTTAGTGTTAGAGTCCGACTGGACAAACAGAGATGCTGACGTGGTGAGCATTTCTGGCCAAATTTGCTGATGTGGCAATTTTATATAAAAAATATGTCAAATAAAAATGTATTACCTTTAATGAAGAAAACAAAAAATAAATAAAAAAACAAAAAAGATTGGACAAGTCAACATCTCCCTCTCTCTTCTCCACCACCGTCCAACTTCCTCCTTCCTCCTCTTCCTCTTTTCCACGACCCAACTTCCTCCTTCCTCCTCCTTTTCTTTTTCACGACCATCCCACTTCCTCCTTCATCCTCCTTTTCTTCTCCACCACTGTCAAACTTCCTCCTTCCTCCTCCGTAGGACCTCCACCGCTCCTCTGCTGCTCCATCATCGAACGAAGTAGATCCTAGAGCTGGTGGCCATGACTTCTTTCCTTATTCGAATCATTCTTCACGCTCTTCACTGCTGATGTCGTCGACTGATCATGAATACGCTCCTCCGAGCCCCGATTTTGATTCATCATCAAAGAAAATGGAGTCTGCAGATCTGGATCTCCGCTGGCCGATGAAGTTGAGGAAGGCGATTCGTCGGAGGGCGACACGGACGAAGAGGCGATGGTGGGGAAGCGACTAGCAGCGGCAGCGGAAGGCAGAAGAGGAAGGTGGTTCGTCGGGATCTGAAGCACCCTTTTCTCTCTATTTGTGCGAGATCTGGAGCTGTTGCCTTCCCCCTCTGCTCCGTCAAAAGGAATTTGAAACTTTCTAGATTCGCGGACATCAGATTTGATTCAATCGGGGGAGAGAGATGCACGATGGAGTATTTCTCTTTTTGCCCTGCGAGAGTATCGCCACCGCCGTCGAGTTCACCATCTCCGTCTCAGGTGAGAAAACGAAGAGACCTACATGGTGCGGGGGATTCGTTAATTAGTTTTTGGAATTTGGGATTCTAAAGCCAATTTTTTTGGGGGAGTTGGGATAAATCGGTTGTGTACAGAGAGTAATGGAAGGCAATTAAGAGAAACGAGATTTTCATCTCTTTTTTTTTGGTTTTTTATAATTTAATGTTGTAATTAAATATTAAATAATTATAATATCTGACGTGTCAATGTCCGCTGATTTGGCACTGACGTGTCCGCTGTTTGGCGCCTAGTCACCAAACCATCAAATAAGTTGACGGTGTTAATAACACCGTTAAAGTATCTAAGGGAAATGGCTATATTTGGCACACAACATCTTTAAAAAGTGGCTATAAGTGGTGTTTCGCCAAAAGTGGCTATAAGTGACACAAACGTGAAAGTTTTGGCTACACAACTGTATTTTGCGTTTATTTAGCAATATGAAAGGACACCTTTCTGCTTGTAGACAAGCATTATTAAGTGTTGTCCAAGAAATGCAGGTTGATGAATATTGGGTAATAACTATTTAATAGCCAAACCTTTTTCGGATTCTTTTTTATTAGTCAAACCTATCGAAATACTAATAATTAGACAAATGTTAACTTTCAGTTAGCAATTTGGTCAGTAATATTGACTTGGCAACATGATACTGACTTTGAAGACACACATGAAGGTCAACATTCCAAAATTTTAGTATTTTAACTAAGAAAAGACTTACAAAATAATTAACAATAACGTAAAAATTGCTAATATTTTGATGCATTACGAAAGATTTGGCTAAATAAAAGCATTTTGATAGGTTTGAATAATATAAAAGAATCTGAAAAAGATTTTGGTAAAATATAGACATTACCCTTATTTTTTATTAATATTGATTTTGTTGTGTGTTTATAAATGTATTAGTATTTTTTATTGTAATGATAGTTATATATGTTAATTATTAGTAGTGTTTTATTAATAGTTATTCATTCGTAGTATTTTCTTTTTTCTCGATAAAAAATCATAAATTAATACTAATTAAAAAATAAAATTAATTAAAATGTTATTTTAATGAAAATAAAATCACTACTGACAATCATAAAATCAATACAACATTTTGTTAAATCACTAATAAGTAAGGTAGTAGGAATTTTTCTGTCGTAAAAATTATTAATAAGGGAGGAGAAAAATATTTCTTAAACTTAATTTTATAATATCTAATAAATTTAAATAAATTTATTCCCAAAAATATTTTTTCCTAAATCTCGTATACTCAAAAATATTTATTTTTTTAAAACTCTTTCCTAGTAAAATTGTATTTCTAAAATATCTAAAGATATTTTAGATAGGAACACATAAACAATCTGTTTGGCAGCAGTGAATGCATTCACCGCGGCAGACGAAAGTGGTGAATGCATCACTGCGTTTGACGGTCGCGGTGAATGGCTGACGTAACACCGAAACTTCAAATGAACATAATTTTGCGCTAGATTATCCGATTGTAGCGATTTTTGTTTATTCCACAAAAATTTCCAAGATCTTTCAAACTGCAACAAGCTTTCATCTATAAAAAATGTCGTTTGTTACCCTGAATGAGCAATTTTTCGATTTTGCCAAACTTTGGAAGTCCATAACTTTTAGCTCCTCAATCCTAATATCATAAAGTTTTTTTTATTGTGCATAACATTTTAAGAAATACAAATTTTACTACGAAAGAGTTTTTAAAAAAAGAAATATTTATGAGTATACGGGATTTTGGGAATAACTTTTCCTATACTTTTCACAAATCCACATACAATCCAAAATTATGGTTATAATCAAAATTGTAGTCCATCAAAAGTAATGCGAAATCAGAAAAAGTTTAATGACATTCGGATTGCGGAGCACAAAGTTATGGTCTTCCAAAGTTTGTCAAAATCGATAAATTTCCCTTTCGTGGTAGCAAACAAATTTTTTTTTGGGATGAAGGCTTGTTGCAGATTGAAAGAAAAAATAGGAGAGTGTGCAAATTCTGATATAATAATTATTCTTATAAAAGATAAAAAAATATACTCCAACTCATCCCTCTGGCCCCACCTCTTCTCTTTCGCTTCTTTCCTCTTTAATAGCAATTGGTACTACTTTCTTCTCCTTCCCTTCTCTTCCTTCCAGCTCGGCCCAACCTCTTTTTCTTTTTTCCTTTTCCTCTTTCTCTTTCCGTTTGCACCCCAAATTGGGGAGGAACTCTGAACAGTAAATTTGCAGCATGTTTGCTCCCCCTCCAACTGTTCAAAAATATCCAAACAAGTGCAATTGTCTCGGGAACTTCATTTGAACCCCTCCTTTTGTTGCACCCTCAACATTTACTCATCCTAAACTGAGTGAAAGTCTATTATGCTGGACAACAATTTCTGCCAGGAGTTTTTAGTGATGGTAACATTGTCAATTGTGAAGTTTTTGAAGGTTGTTGATTCTGATGAGCAATCATTTTTGGGGTAATGTGCATGGTGGAATAGTGAGGATAACGAAGCCCATCAAGAACATATTTTGCTGCAATAAATATGTAGTTAATTGATGCTAGATGGGATAAACATATTTGACATAGCATCTAGGGAGCCACATATTTTCTGAACCCATCAATATGAAATTAATTAAAGTTCGAGCTACGCGTTGTATACATACAAAATTGTCTTCTTGATATCCTCGAGACTGGAGACTTATGTGACAATGTCGAGGAAGCAATTTAGGAGATTATACTTTATAGGGAGAGACTTGGGAGCTTTAGGAAGAAAACAACAATCTCGTGTACTTCCACTTTACCTCAAGGTAACCAATTTTTATTACTTATTGCTTTTTATATTGTAAAGTTTCCAAATTCTATGTAGTAATTTACAATATTTGCTTGAATGAATAGCTTAATGTAGTGGAGGACCCATGTGTTAGGGAGGTTTGTCAAGAGGCATACCTCCGCCCGAATATTTTGTGAGAGACTCATGTTTTGTCGGTATAATTTTTTGGAATTTAGGACTTCCGACACACATTCAATAATTGTAATCGACACACCTTCAATACACTAGAATAATATTGGTGTCATAAAGTTTCCAAAATACCTAAATATATATTATTTATTTTAAATTTTAGTTAACTTATGAAAAAATTGGGGTTCTTTCCATTGCTTAAGCATTTAGACTCAATGGTTTACTGCTCTTAGGTCTTAGGCAAGGGTAATCGTAAGGAAGTTTTCTCCTTTTTCTCTCTACCTGAATTAGTTTCATTTCTTCTTGATCCTTGTAGCTTTTACATAGTTGTCCACCTGGTGACAAAAAATGCTTTTTCATCAGAAGTCTGGTTGCATATGGACTATCACTTTTAATTATTGTATATCTTATAAAAAACCCTAATATTCCCTTTACCTCTTTCGATCCCACTTCTCGTTGTGTTTTACAATAATATATAATTAAAATTTATTTATTATTTTTATTTAATTTTATTAACCGACACACATGTACGAGAATCCTGGGTTTGTCACTGGCTGAATGGTGGACACTACTTGGAGAGGATGCTTCCATTTTGAGGCAAGTGATGTGCGACTATTGTCCCTAACATTTTCTTATGGGTTTCAGCAGAATTGGAGTGTGTTTGACGAGATCCATAACAAGCGGAGGAATCGATTGGAGTATTAAAGATGGAGTACTCTTGTTTATGTTTAATGAGATCCCTAACATCTTCATCTACTTAATTGTTATATTCTTTGACTTGTAGGTGCTTGAATAAGGAGAGAGCTAAAGATCCAATTGATTATGAGCAATTAGATAACATAAATTTTTAGATTGTAGAATAAGATCCAATGTAGATATAGACTACGAGGAGATTGAAAAGACTATTTATTAGAAGGGCGAATCATCCTCATTCTATAGATATAGAAAGTGTTCTTGTATTCAAGGTTTGTTTAGTATAACATCTATGAAAAAGACTATACATTCTTATAATAACATTCTTGCAATAAATAATAATTTTGAATAATTGAATTTCATGTGACCGATGAAATTGATTTTGATATTTTCATATCGTTGATGCAATGAAGATGCAGATGAACGCATTTATCTTTAAAGATCGAGAACTTAATTATTTGAAACTTAGATGTTTTATGGTGGATTTAAGAAAGTTTGAATTTTCACTATATGTTGGATGAGAGTTGAGATAATTTATGTATGTATGAACAATATAATGTAATTTCCATATATCAGGACCAAAGCAATCGAACCGATAATTTCAAACTACTTGCTTGGTCAGGACAACGAGCTAAATTGAGTTGACAACCTTGCCGAAAATGCAATTACATTTAGATAGCTAAACTCTCCATTATAGATGTTGAATTTTCCATCTAGATATAGTATTGTGTAAATGTGTATTGAGTAAATGTGAATTTTCGATCCCTGGAAATGGAACTATCTCGTCAGTGGGATGCAGAGGAGTTATACTGGCAGCAAAAATCCAGGGTCCATTGGCTAAAGAAAGGGGACCAAAATTCAGCGTATTTCCACACGGTTACGCGTACGCGTCGGAAAAGAAATTTTGTCGATGGTCTGCGGGATGAGGAGGGTGAATGGGTTACAGACGAGAGTGGGAAGGCTAGGATTGCTACCAGCTTTTACCAAACTCTCTTCACTTCGGAGTCCCAGGTGCCAAATATGGCGGAGAGGGTGGCAAATCTCCCCATTCCTCAAATGGTTACACCGCAAATGAATGAGATTTTAACGGCAGTGGTTTTACCAGAAGAAGTTCGAAAAACTGTTTTTTCCATGGGATCGAAGCAGGCTCCGGGATTTGATGGTTTTACCAGAAAATTCTTCAAAGATTTTTGGGACGTGGTGGGTGTCTCGGTGATTGAGGCGGTTTGTTCTTTCTTTTCGACTAGTCGAATGTTACGGAGCTTCAATCATACGTGGCTTACGTTGATCCCTAAAGTGGATTCTGTGGAAAATGTCCGCCAGCTGCGTCCGATCAGTCTGTGCCAGTTCGTTTATAAAGTAATAACCAAGATCATGGCAGAGCGGCTTGCTGGCTTACTTCCTCAACTTGTTTCTGAGGGGCAGAATGGGTTTATCAAGGACAGGCAGATTATTGATAATGTCCTTCTTGGGCATGAGTTAATGCATTATCTTAA